AGAGCTCTTGCCAGGGAGTTAGTATTTCTGGGATCCCACACACTCTCAGAAACTATATATAACAGTTTATAACTCAAAGGATTAGTGAACCCACGAGGCACACTAGAAATGTTGGCTGATGTGAGCAACTGAGAGAGGTGTTTTCCTTGGGCCAGGGGAGGTTATTTTCTTCAGAGGTAAGTGTGTGGATGATCAAGTCCCCATTCTGGTGAGAACACAGTGTGGGCCCATGCTGTGTAGTGCACATGTATACACAGCAGCTAGGCAAAGCAGCATCCAGTGGGGACCCACAGGGTGGGCCTTGGGTGTGGCTTGAGTCCCACAGGGAAGACAGGCATGTGTGAACACAAGCTCACTTTGTTGGTTTTGACATCCTGGCTGGAGACGGACAATATGGCCATGCAGTGCTCTTAAGAATACAGTACTTTTACATTCAAATGTAAATTCAAGGTCATCCCTTCTTCCACTCTCCAACAACTGGCATGTATCACGAGGACTCCCAGAGCTGCACTCCAGCTCAGCCTGTCACGGCCTTCCAACGGGCCCTGGACAAGTGGTCTCTGGCCTTCTGGCCCTTATGCCACTTCCTGCTGCCTGGAGTACCCTTCATGGACACTCACAGAAATGCTCTGTATGTGTGACACTGGAGTGGTGAAAACATCTTCATTAAAAACTGTCGGTGAGTGGGTGTCACATCTCTAATATAGTCACTGTGCAAAGTATGTTCTAGAGCATTAAACACATCTTTATGAAGGGAAAGCAGCAACTTAGAGAGGTCCTCTGGGAGCAATTTAAAATCCTTATAAAGAGGGATGAAACCAAATGTTAAAATACAGCAAGCAAAGTGTACATGAACATCTGAGTTCTAAAACTCACATCTGTAATAACATGTCAAAAAGACAGCTAAACAGAAAGCTGCACATCCACATAAGGACCTCTGCCTTTGCTATATGTAGTTGTGGGCTCCTCAGACACTTGGGAGGCTGAAGCAGGATACTTAAGTCAGGAGCTCCAGGCCAGACTGGGCAACACAGTAAGACCCAATGTCAAAAAAAAAAAAATGGATGAACGATCTAAACTGAAGAGATAAAACATGAACAAAAACAAAGGGATGTCTTTGTGACCCAGACGTAGTGACTTCTTAGAGATGTCACTGAAAATAAAACAAAGAAAGAGAAAGTAAACTGGATTTGATCAAAACTGAAAACTCCTTTACATCAAAGGGCACCATGAACAGTGAAAAGACACCCCACAAAATGAGTAAGTGTTGTGTCTGATGGAGACCAGAAATGTGAAGGATTCCTGCAGTTCAACAGCAGAAAGCGGCAGCCCGACAACAGCTCTAGGTCCTGAGCAGGCAGCGCTCCAAAGCAGCCACAGAGATGGCCACTGAAGAGGGAGGACTAGCAGCGCCACTCCCACTCCTAGGCTGAGACAAGCCCACCTCACCGCACCAGCAGCAACACGGAAAGCAAAGGGGCTGACAGGGTGACAAAGCAGAGCTCTCCTGCACTGGGAGAAGCTATCAAAAAGTTAAATGAGGGCGGGGAGAGGGCTCAGTGGATAAAGTTCTTACACATAAAAGCTGGGTGGGTACAGCAGCCACTGTAAACCCAGCACTCAGAGGTGAAGACATGAGATCCCTAAGGCCAGCTGGCTGGTTAGGCCAGTGGAATAGGCAAGCACCAGATGTGGTGAGATCCCACTTCAATATATAAGATGAGGAAGACAGCTAACATCAACTTCAGACCTCCACACGTACATACAATATACCACACACATGCAAACACATATCCGTGTGCACCACATACACCTATGCATGTTGAAACAGCTAACGTAGTGTTTCCATATGATCCAGCAAATTCACTCATAAGTATACAGCAAAAGAACTGAAAACAGTTTTATTTACTAAGAACCAAAAGACCCTGCACACACGTGTTCTTGGCAACGTTATTTACTAGGAGCCAAAAGCGAGAAACAACCCAAGTGCTCACCAACAAACGAAAAGAAAACACAGCGTAATGATACGAAAAACGGACTGCCCTGCCATCAAAAACAGGGAAGCCCGGACACATGCCCAGCACATGATGGCCCCACCTTTATGCAAAGGAAGCCAGTCAGGCCCAGCAGGACAGATGTTTCAGTCAAATCCACAGACACAGAAACAGAACAGGGATACCAAGAGCTAGGAGAGAGAGCTTTGGGGAATGGAAAGTTCTTTAAAGGGTCTATCTGAGATGAAGACCAAGTTCTAGAAACAGATAGTGGTAATAGATATACTGCCAAATTCTACACTTAAAATGGTAAGATTTTATGTTAAATCTATTTTATCACTTTAAAAGCCTGTTGTTAAGCCAGGCGTGGTGGCACCACCTTTAATCCCAGCACTTGGGAGGCAGAGGCAGGCAGATCTCTGTGAGTTCAAGGCCAGCCTGGTCTACAACTGCTTTCACTGTACTGAGACACAAGCACGCTCCAGCTTCCTATGCCACATCTCTAGTTCAGAGCACAGACAGCCAGTCTTAAAGATGGGCCAATCCCACTGACAGGCTGCAATGCCAGTTGTTTGCTGTCTTCCCCCAATGGAGCTTAGACTGAAAAGTACCCAAGGATCTCTCAGTGGGTCCCCACCGTTTTCAGAGTTTTCATGCTGCCGGGTGGGGTGCTGGGTCCTATTCTGCCTCCTATGCTACATGAGGGTCTTTATGCAAGATCCTCCACAGGTCAGAAGAATCCTGAGACACTTTAAGCAGCTACACCTTGAAAGGAAATAAAGCAAACTTCACCTTCGGGATGTCTCAAAAAATCAGTACATTGGGGCTGGAGAGATGGCCTGGCAGTTAAGAGACAGGCTGCTCTTGCAGAGGACCTGGGTTCAGTCCCAACATCCACATGATGGCTAACAACCATCTGTAACTCCAGTTCCAGGCAATCTAACACTCTCTTTTAGCCTCCATGGGCATTGCATGCACAGGTGCAGTAACATACATGCAACCAAAACACTCATTTGCATAAAATTAAAAATAATAAGCTAAATCTAAAAATGAAACTGAGTTGTTAAGTCTGCAAAGATGCTCGTCAGTCCTTCCCATCTAGAGTGCCATGGCAGCACACATCACAGGTCTGGAAGGACAGACAGCAGCCCCAGAACAGCCTTTCCTACAGACCTCCTTGGACTACAGACTCATTTGATTTTCTTCTGGTCACAGATTCATAATACAACACTGAGCACTTCACCCAACCTAGCACTCTTCCAGGACACATGAAGGGGATGGGGCTGTATATCCACAGCACCAGAATTCTCACATACCAGGCTTATCTATCCCAGTCACACCACAAAGAGACAGGTCTCCAAAGTCAGCCACAGAGACTTTGCATGGCTCTGTGCCTTACAAAGGATCTGTTTCATACATGACAGAGAGCAGACTCCAGGTTAGTGCTAGCAACCCGAGCTAGCGGCTCAGCAGAGCGGGGAGGAGGCTGTGTGGAGTCTGGCTGTTACCTGCCATCATAAGTCAGTGGTGCCAAGGAAGAAGAGTTCCTTAACCAAACAAATACAAGAAGCATCTTTCAAAAGTTAACTAAAAATGTACATATGCATCACTTACTGCTTGACCTATGACCTTTAACTTTAGAAGTGTTCAGTCCCTGCAAGGCACATGTTTCTGTGTATACTTTCTTTTAGCTGAGTGGCTTTTCTTCAAGTTACCAGATGCAGAAAAATTAAGGAAGCCATGTTTTCCTGTTGGCCTTGTGGTGAAGAGCAGGGACACTGGCCTGCCCCGCCCCCCCGTGGCACTTGTGCAGCGCAGACCTGTGCATGGCAATTCTAAGCGGTTTTGTCCAGGAACTCTTGCTATCCTAGCGCCTCAGGACAGGACGGAACAGTAAGACCTCACAGCCGTCTACCAACTGCCAAACCACATGGTATTCACGGACTGGGAGTTTCTTCTCTACACTGTCTGGGCTGTTTTGGCAGGGAAACCTCTGCAGCTCTAAAAACAGCACGATCTGATCACAACCCACTCCAGCTTCCATACTGAACAAGCAGAAAGAAGAGCTCCGTGCTGGACTGCGCACACAGCAGCCGCAATCAGGACCTGCAGACGGACCTGCATCTGCCTCTACGCACCTTGAGCTGGCTGCTGCATCTCCTGGCTCTGGTGAGTGCATATTCACAGCAGTCTGGCTTGTGATACTCAAGTAGCCATGCCTCCCTCAAACTCTTCATTCAGCATAAAGTGCACACCCTCCTAAAAGAAGATGAAGCCACTCTGCAATGCTGCACACAGCGTGCAGCAGACACAGCTCAACATGTGCTCAGGTGCCAACAAGGGGGTGCTTAGACCTGCTCCCTCTCTGACATGAGACCTAAAGGAGACATCAGAGAAAGGAAGGTGTGTACTCCTTGACCTACCACAAGGCTGACCGAAGGGCACTCTCTTCCCACTTGACTGTGAGCAGAGCAGTGTTCTCTCTGTCCTCAGCCAGGGGCCTGAACATGCACTGGGCAGTGATGATGTGCACACCAGAGCCCGTGAGGCAGATGGAATTTCTGCTTGCTCACTTGTTCTCCTCAGGCCATTGTCCTGCCTTGAAGTTCACAGGCAGAGACTTTGCCTACCAAATATACACATTGTTGATATACAAAGGACACCTACCTCCTAACCCCAAGATTATATTTCAGAATATAATAGGTGTAAATATTGACTCGACTTTATTCAAAAATTAAGGAAACACAAAAACATAGAACTAAAATGTCCAATATCGTGCGAAATAACAGGTTCACCAGAAGGTTATAAAGTAAACCTACACTGGGGGAGTTATAGTTACTAGACAGAGAATGAATCATTTTTCACAAAATTGTATCTTGGAAAACACTGACCACAAGGCAGATGGTGACTGAACTGCCCACCTTCAGGATGACCCTGCTGGTATGGGTGGTCATCCTTCACACAGTAAGAAGCTGCTCTGGGAAGGCCTCTTCCAGGTGCTCAGCGGGGCTTTCTGAAAGAAACATCCTTTCTGGTGCCCTCTCTGGCAGATCAACCACCCACCTACCTATGAGGTAGCTGCTCTCAAGGGGGAGCTAAGGGTGCATCCCAACGTGCCCATCTCTAGTCAATCACTGCTGGCCATCTATAACGCATCGCATAAGTGACCATCTGAACACAAAAGAGGGGGCAGGGGAAGGAACTGGCTTTCTTGCCAACCCCCGCCCCCCAAGCACACCTACATACTACGCTCCAGGGCGTTTAGGTCTTCCAGGAGCTCCTGGGCAGCAGTCTTCAGGTGGGGGTTGCGGCTCTTGGACATGACCACTATACGCTGCAGAGGCAGGGAGCTCAGGAGCTCTGATGCGGACTTGGAGAAGACTTCTGGTTCCAGAATTACAGACTGGATGAGCCGTAGTACATGAAGACACACCTCTGCATCTGGGTCTGGGAAGAGGTAGTGCTTGTGGTTAGAATCCACTCCTGCAGGGTCCTTTCTGAATGACAGGTCCAACAGCTGAGACAACGCTGGCTAGCCCAGAAACAGGAAGTCTCGCTCTAGGAGCAGCATGATTGAACTCAGTTATCGCCTACTTAGTAACCATCCATCTTCAAATGTTAAAATCATCATGTAAAACACTAAGCTAGAAACATTAGGGCTGCTAGAGGTTGGAAGTGCTGTATCTAAAGGCCTAAAGGCCCACGTGGTCATCAGCCTGAAGTGCTCTTGGAAGGTGGTGGGACTTCTAGGGGATGGAGCTTGATGGAAAGAGATTGGTTCACAAGAGGACCTGTTCCAGAAGGGATACTGGGACCCTGATCCCTTCCCCAATTCTTTTCTCCTCAGTTGCTGTGGGGTAAACAGACATGTCCTGCTGTCACAGCCCAAAGCAACGAGGCTAACTAACCAAAGACTGAAACTTCTCAAACCAGGAGCCAAAATCAATCTTCCCTTTTCTGAGATAGGGTCTCCTGCAGCCCCAGCTAGCCTGGAACTTGCTATATAGACCAGGCTAGCCTTGATCTGCCCGCCTCTGCTGGGATTATAGGCATGAGCCACCATGCCTGGCTAAATCTTTCCTTCTTTTAAGTTGATCGTCACAGTTGTGCAGAGCTAACAGGAAGGTTTCCACGCTGTTTGCTATGCTCTGCCCATTGCTACAGCTGTTTCAGAAGGCACTACCTCATCTTCACTCTAAATGTGGCAAATCCCTTAGCAACAACATGCAGAGATGGCTTCTACACAGGACCTTTGAGTTAGACAACGTGAGGTGTCGGAGCCACTCTGTATTTCACCAGTTCCCGTCTGAACGCCACTGAGAGCTACAGAACCCGGAAGCCCTGCTTGTTCCACAGCAGCCACTGAGAAATGGACCCAAATGAAAGCCCAGGTCAAAGCAATGATCCTTATCAGCAGACGAAGCTTCCGACCATGCCTTTCTCCAGTGGATGTGCTCTGGCTGAGGATGTAATGGGAGCCCTGCTTAGAGTCAGTCAGCACCTCTCTCTAGTACTGCACTTACTCAAATGGACCTTTCAAGAAGGTGGTGATTGAACACTCTCTCAGCCTGGACCAGAGAGGCTTCCTGCAGAACAGCTAAGGAAGGGCTAAAACAACCTGTTCCTTGTGGGGCAGAGCGAGAAGCCACCCTGGCCCAGACTTAGCATTGGGGGGAGGGAAAGGAAACTCCAGGATAAGAGCTGTGAAGATACAGAGCAGAGTGACTGTGAGGAGGCCAGGGTCACAGGGAGGGCGCGACCACTGAGGCACAGGTGATCAGAAACTGCGGCAATGGAGAACTCCCCACCACATTTCCCTGGAGTCAGCAAACACCTGGTAACCACACCTGGAGAGGAGCCAAAGTCCAATGAGACCCTCTTGGGCAGGGAGGTAGGCAAAGATGAAAACTAGCAATTCAGCTCTCCTGGGAGCTCAAGAAAGGGCTTGAGGACTACCTCACCCCACCCCAAGCAGAACAGGAGACATGGCCATCCCCAAATAAAAATACCTCTCTCTACCTCCTCTCAGTCTCTCACAAGGGAAGGGGGTACTCCAGGTTCCCAGGCCAAGGGCAGCCCACACACCATTTTGCACAGTATGATGGTTTCAATTTTTTAAGATTTATTTTTAATTATGTGCATGACTGAGTGTCTGTGTGTGGCAGGACACAAAGAGGTCACAAGAGGACATCAGTTCTCTCTTATAGGTATTTGTGAGCTTCCTGACATGGGTGCTTAGGAACTAAACTTGGGTCCTTTAGAAGAACAGTACCCACTCTGAACTGCTGAGCCATGTCTCCAGCCCCAGTACCTTTTTTTAAAAAAAAGAGGAAAACAAGGCCAGGCATGGTGGTACAGACCTTTAATCCCAGCACTCAGGAGGCAGAGGCAGGCGGATCTCTGTGAGTTCAAGGCCAGCCTGGTCTACATAGTGAGTTCCAGGACAGTTGGGGCTACAGGGAGACCCTGTCTCAAAAAGACCAAAATAAATAAATAAATAAAATAAAATAAATAAAAAGAGGAAAACAACCATTTACTTCCCTGGGCTGCACAGCCTCTGGGCATCCTGGTGTCAGCACCTTCCCTGGGTAAGTCCAGCTCACCCACCGCACCTTGACCACCCCCAGCCTCTTTCACCCTCCCAGCTCCCCCACTGCATGTCTCTCCTCCTAGCCTGCATACTGGCCCATTTCTTGTCTTGGCACCCCAGACATCAGGGCTAACCTCTTGGCCCAGAGCTACCACACCACTGCTTCCTGATCCTTTGCATCCAGACCAACCCACTTGCTCCCTGTGGTCCCCAGGAGCCCTCTGGGCCTGGTCCCACCCTCACCTCCCTTTACTTCCCTGGGTGGCAGAGCCACCAGCTTCCTGAGACCAGCATCTTTTCTGGGCCCTATTCCCAGGCCAATGCAAACCCCAAATTCCTGAGGGCAGCATCTTTCCAGGAGGGACCCAGACTTAGGAGAAAGCCTGAGAGCAACTATGCCTCATCTCACCTGGGCCTCTATGGAAACTCCTGAAGACAAAAGCAATTAGGCCATTCCAATATAAAATCAAAAGAGAAAACCTGAAGTCTAGACCAACCAGATTTTCATGCCCAACAAGTAAGCCACAAAGGCACATATGGTTTACAAAAAGAAGCAGATCTAAACTCAACAAGGGAAGGCTTGAGTCTCACACAAGAATCAGAAACAACGAAAGAAATTCACATGTCAAAGTCACAGAGAAAAAATAATAGCAAAAAAAACCAAAATAATATATCCCCAGCAAGTACCAATAGTCCTCTAGAGGAGTATGATGAGAACTCCCTAGAGATAACACAGGACATGGAATTCAGAAGAATAATTATAAACATGATAAAAGAATTCGGTGAATTTAAAGAACACAGAAACAAAGAAATGAAAGAACTGAAGGAAGATAGGGATAAACTTCTGAATGAATTCAGAAAAGAGTTGAAGAATACTCGGGCTGAAATGAAGAAGGAAGTGAAACACTCAATAAGCCAATTAGAAATGACGGGAGAAAGCCTCGCCAATAGGATGAATGAAATGGAAAACAGAATATCAAGAATGGAAGATAAAGTGGATGAACTGGACCACTCAAGCAAAGATTATGAAAATTTTTAAAAATCACAAGAATGGAATACGCAGGAATTGTGTGACACCATAAAAAAAAAAAACTTACGAATTATAGGCATACAGGAAGCAGAAGAATCTCAAGACAATGGCATGGACCAGATCTTCAACGGGATTGTAGAAAAAAATTTCTCAAAATTAAAAAAAGACATGCCCATACAAATACAAGAAGCACACAGAACACCAAAGACAGGATCAGAAAAGAAACTCCCCACGGCACAACACAGTAAAAACACTAAATGTACCAAATGAAGAGAGAACACTGAGAGCTACAAAAGAAAAACAACAAGCCACATATAAAGGAAAACCCACCAAAATTACAGCTGACTTTTCAGTGCAGACTATGAAAGCCAGAAGAGCCAGGACCACAGTATTAACAGTCCTAAATGACCACAGATGCCAACCCAGATTACTTTACCCAGCCAAAATGTCTACTATAGTCGAAGGGCAAAGAAAAATCTTCCATGACATGAATAGGCTGAAAGAATTCATGCCCACAAAACCAGCCCTTCAGAGAGTTCTTGAAGCAACAAAAGGAGCTGAAGAAAGGAATTACTATACCCAAGGGGTGATGGAAAGAAATTCAATGGAGGTATAACTGTGGAAATGCACAGCTATATCAAGAATCTGAACAGAAATAAAAATGGCAGGATTCAATACACATCTTTCATTAATTACTTTAAATATCAATGGACTGAACTCCCCAGTCAAAAGACACAGACTAGGTGAATGAATTAAGAAACAAAACCCATCTTTTTGTTGTCTGCAAGAAACTCATCTCACTTTCAAGGACAGGTGAAAGGATGGAAAAAAAATATACTAAGCGAATGGTACTAAGAAAAAAGCAGGCGTTGTAATTCTAATATCTGATAAAACAGACTTTAAAACTAATCAGAAGAGACAAAGAGGGACACTTCATTCTGATCAAAGGAACAAAAAAAAAAAACAAGAAGAGATTACAATCATGGACATATATTCGCCAAACTCTGGTGCACCCAACTTCATAAAAACAGTACTACAGGACTTTAAGACCCAGATTAATCCCAACTCATTAATAGTAGGGGACTTCAATACTCCATTGTCTCCAACAGATACGTCAACAGGACAGAGAATTAATAGAGCGACATCTGAATTAAACAATACCATATAGCAAATGGACCTAACAGACATCTACCGAATATTCCACCCAAGCACCAAAGAATATACTTTCTACTCGGCACCCCATGGAGTTTTCTCCAAAATCGATCATGTACTGGGACAAAAAAACAAACCTCAACAAATACAAAAAGATTGAAATAATTCCATACATTCTA